AGAGAGAGAGAGAGAGAGAGAGAGAGAGAGAGAGAGAGAGAGAGAGAGAGAGAGAACAGTGGCAGGAGAGCCGATAACCGTGTGGTTTTGCAGAGAGTCGTTGAGAAGAAAACAGTGCTAGTGCTGGTGAGTGTTTGTGAATAGACTTTTGGCGTTAGAATGGAAGTTGCGCAGCTGATTTCACGTTCGTATATATCATAAATCATCGATTCGAGGACAGCCTTACACTCTCCTGTTCAAATGCATTTGACTTTTGGAGTGTGAAGTGGTGTGTGAAATGGTCAGAGATCGATGGGGAGATGATCATCTACAGTCTTCCCCCGAATACAACGTACGGTCATTATTACTGAATTCGGTACATATATGAGTCTAAATTCAGCTATAATGACCGTGCGTTGTATTCGGGGGAAGACTGTAGCAATTCTGGCTATAAGGTCGTTAAAGTTAGAATGTGCAAAAGCATGTCAAACTCGGTTTGGTCCAAGAAATCACTATTTAATGGGCGCCATTGGGCGTGATTTGCGGTGGGTTTGTACTTGCAAACTTGGTAAGGGCCTTAAGATTAGGAGTTGCTTTTCTGAAAATTTCATGTTCTGGTGAAAATTGCTTCTGTGGGAACCTGTTTTGTAGTTCTTGTCTGTACTCTTAAGCATAGCTACCGTGAGGATCGTTCCTGGCCTGAGCTGATTGATTCATTCAAAACTTTCTATCAAACCTGTTGTGTTGAGCCGAAATCGAGGAAATTCAGCTATGCCAGGCTGGCGGAGAACTGTGGGGGGGCTAGTTGATGAAAGAACAGGCCTGGCCCAGGTCAGACTTGTCTTGCAGACCTGTGTAAATGTCGTGGAGACGGTTTCTTTACTCCATTGTTTCTGGACTTCGATATGGTTTCTTTATTGCATTGGTGCCGGGATTCGATTGCGTGCCCCATGATCGGATTATACCCAGTCCTGTGAGTGATGACCCTTTTCTATTGCCGTGGGCAATGGTAGGGAAAAAGAGAAGATTATTTCTATATGTTGTCTTCGGAAGACAACTTTTCCTTCTCGTCGCGAGGGGTTAAAGCTGTGGTGATGTTCGGTGAACACCCAGATGAGTAAGGTGGTGTTCAGACTGGATGTCAACTGATGAGGTATATGGACCGATGAGAGAACCCTCGGTCAAGTCTGGGATGGGGCCGTGTTTTGAATGATCCCCTCCTGGTTGGCACGTGGCAGACAGTCGTTGCAAGATGGCTAGATTGGGGATCATGACGGGTAATCGAACGTAGTACGAGTGTCAGCAACGACACTGGTGTCCTCCCATCACATTAGGATGTGCCCGTGGGCGCCAGCTTGCCTTGTCTAGGTACTCCTGCAGGGTAGACTCTCTGATATCGGGCCTGTAGAAGATTGCGTGAGCCTGGCGTCCGAAGTTCCCTTACGGTGAAAGGTTCGTCCGCTTCCGCTTCCACTAGGAGTGGGGGGTTCCGCAGCCTTGGTGCTTGTCACTGCTGTCTGGTCCAAGTTGCCCTCGATACTGGTAGTAGGGTGATGATCCTGAGTGCTGGTCACACTGAGGTAGGACAGTAGGGATAGAGAGTGCGCTGGGTGGTAATGCGGGGAAGGGTAGGTAGGGAAGATGGCCTATCCTGACAGGACAAACATCAGCTGCTGCTGCCAGCGATCACCGTGGGTCTAGTCCTTGGCCTTTACAATACCCTCTGGGCTTTTAAGAGGGGCGGGAAAAAAAAATAAAATAAAAAAAATCTCAGCTTGGCGCCTTCAGAGGTCTTGCTATGGTTTGGTGGGAAGTACAAGAGGAGCAGGTCTCATTGCCAGAGAAGGTCTCATTGCCAGCCTTGTGCTGTGCGGATGTCATGGTCCGTCAGCACGTAGTTTGTTCTGGCCGTATACGTGCAGCAGACACGTGGCCGAGCAGATCTTAATGTATCAAACAGTTGGGAGGAGGGCAGAAAGAGCGTATTTAAACCACCAGTAAACATCCAATGCTAAATTTACGCCTCAACCCCCCGTGTGTGGCAAGCTTTACCAAAATGCCAGCGCAGCGTTTTTGTTGTGGTTTTGCCTGGAGCTGGCAGCCATTTTGGTCGGGATGCCACAGGCGTCTGATTGTTTTTGGAGCGACTGGGTTGTAATTCCTTAGGTTGGCAGGGGCCATGTACTGGTGGTTTAACAAATGGTTAGGTAGAAGGGATATGTGTGGCGTGAGAAGGTACACCTGCATGCACTCTCTCTCTCGTGGCCGTCCAAACAGCACCTGTATCGGCGGCCAATTAGTTGTTCCTAAATGCAGAAAGGAATAAGCGAGCAGATTTCTTCTAGCTGCTGGCATAGCAGTGCAGCGACTGCTTACCGCCCCGCACGCCTTGATGTGGCGACCGAATGCCCATTTGTGGAGCCTGGGTATGGGGTTTGTGCGGTTACTCCCAAGCATAGTATTCTGCCGCTTTGTAACTGCATGGGCAGGTCTTACACTGACCTTGCTGATGCTCCTTCCTACACCTGATCGTTATTGTGCCCGTCAC